TTACAGTTTAGTGTTGACAGTTTAGTGTTGACAGTTTACAGTTAGTGTTGACAGTTTACAGTTAGTGTTGACAGTTTACAGTTAGTGTTGACAGTTTAGTGTTGACAGTTTACAGTTTAGTGTTGACAGTTTAGTGTTGACAGTTTACAGTTAGTGTTGACAGTTTACAGTTAGTGTTGACAGTTTACAGTTAGTGTTGACAGTTTACAGTTTAGTGTTGACAGTTTACAGTTTAATGTTGACAGTTCAGTGTTGACAGTTTAGTGTTGACAGTTTACAGTTTAGTGTTGACAGTTTACAGTTTAATGTTGACAGTTTACAGTTAGTGTTGACAGTTTACAGTTTAGTGTTGACAGTTTACAGTTAGTGTTGACAGTTTAGTGTTGACAGTTTACAGTTTAGTGTTGACAGTTTACAGTTTAGTGTTGACAGTTTACAGTTAGTGTTGACAGCTTACAGTTTAGTGTTGACAGTTTACAGTTTAGTGTTGACAATTTACAGTTAGTGTTGACAGTTTACAGTTTAGTGTTGACAGTTTACAGTTTAGTGTTGACAGTTTACAGTTTAAAGTGTGTAAATAATGTTTCCACAGATACAAAACTCACTGAAAAGCATTCATCTGCTTTTAGCTGCTGCCTCTGTTTGTCTTCTGTTAGCTTTTAGCTGCTGCCTTGCTAGCTTTAGCCTACAGCTATGGTTTATCTAACTGTATCTTTTAGCTACAGTTTTGCAGGTAAAATCCAAACACCTGGTTGTAACGTTAGTGGTGAGTCTCACTGCCTTTTCTTCAAATTTAAAATCGATCTAAAATAAAAATGAAATCTTACCGGGTCGTTGGCCAACAAGCCCAGAGCTAAATTAACTGAAACAGACAGAACAGAGAGAAAACATCAGACGTGTGCTGACACTCATCAGGTGATGTGAGCGAGACTTCTCATTGGCTCGTGCTGCAGTGTGTTCTGGTGGGACTGGACGAGCAGAACCGGTCCGGAGGCCCGCTTTGACCCGGGAGCCGTCAGTGATGCCTCCATGTTTCTGCAGGAACTCACCTGCAGTCGTGGATTTTCCCACGCCGCCTTTCCCTGACGCCACAACGATGACGTGTTCCACACCTGAGACAGGTTTGTGTTTGGGAAGACCTCGAGCCATCTGCTGCTTCTGTCTGTCCTGCAGGGACGTCCTGTCCACAGACCCCTGCAGGGACGTCCTGTCCACRGACCCCTGCAGGGACGTCCTGTCCACRGACCCCTGCAGGGACGTCCTGTCCACAGACCCCTGCAGGGACGTCCTGTCCACAGACCCCTGCAGGGACGTCCTGTCCACAGACCCCTGCAGGACAAACTGTCATTACACTCATGTTTACTCTTTAAAGGAGACTTTTTCTTCTTTTACATTTAATAATTTAAATTATTTTAAATTTTAATATCTGGTAAAGGAGACGATTCTGATTTTAAATCCTTAAACTGTAACTCCACAAGCCCCTTTTCTGAGCTGTGTCTCAGATCAGCTCATTTTGAGGCTGTCTCTTTAACCCAGGGGTCTGCAACCTGAGGCTCTGGGGCCACATGTGGCTCTCTGGTCACTCTGCAGCGGCTCTTTGAAAATGTGACCAAATTTAACAGAATATTATTTATTTTTGTTTTTATACTCACAACAGAAATAAACTGTATGTACATATGTGATGAACACTATTAGCTCATGCTAACCTGTTGTCTTCTTAAATAATTCAACTTCTTTCTATGATCTTTCTCTAAAATCAAYCAGGGTTAATAAAAGATAAATCAATAAATAATAATAAATCGATAAAACCTAATAAATCAATCAGGGTTATCTTTAAACACCTTTAAGACTTTATAATAATAAGAATTAGACAAAAATATACGTCTGAATAGTTCAGTTGTACTAGTTTTTATGAAGTTCGGTATAAAAACTACAAACAGTATTTTTCTTGTCTGTGACTGTTTTTCTTTTGTCCTGAAGTGTAAAAATATAAATAAATAATAAAATTTATAAAACATATATATTTTTTGTTTTATAATGTCACCTCCACTGGTCATACAGTTTCACAAAAAGTCCTTGAAAAGGCCCACGGACCAGCAGTTGATAATCTCTGGACATGTAATTAGTGAGACAAGCAGCAGAGATGTCTCTGACTGTAAAGGGAGCAGAGCTCTGCTTTAAACCCAGACAAGGTGCTTGTTTCAAATCATTTCATGAAATATTTCAGAAACTGAAGGAGTTCAGGATCTGACCCAAACAGAACCTGAAGAACCTCTGAGCCCAGCAGGACTGCACAGACCCAGACTCAGGTAAAACTGTGACCCCAGTCTCTGATCCAAAGACCAGGACCAGGACCAGGACCAGGACCGGTCCATGGACCTTACAGGTCCTCCTTGTTCAGTAAAAACAGTCCGTGCTCTCTGAGGAAACAAAGACAAATCCAACCTGGTTCCGGTTCGGCTGAACACAGCACACAGCTCCGGACTTTAACACGGTTCCGGTTCGGAAAGCTGACGGTTTATTAGCAGCTATCCTCAGTAAACGGGTCAGTTTGTTGGATGTGAACAGAATCATGTTGTTCGGCTCTGAGACTTCCTGCGCATCAAGTTTGCGTCACTTCCGCAGATTCGTCATTTTTCTTGGTGAGTTTGAATCAAAAACAGCTTCTGAAAAAAAAATCAGATGAGTTCAACAACTGCAGGAAGTGATTAATTAACTTTCTGTTAAAGCTCACACTCCGTAAAAACTGTTTATATTTTTATGTTTACTTCAACGGAACATTATCTACGGAAACCCAGAGAGGACCTGATCTGCGCTTCGCGGAAACAGCCGACAGGAGTTCTGGTTCGTTTCGTCCAGGTCCGTCTTTCTGTTCGGTTCTGTGTGGGTCCAGATGGCAGAGCAGGGCAGCGGTCCGGTGGTTCGGACGGTTCTGCAGCAGTGTCTGCGGGCCAGGCTGCAGGTGAAACCGGCTGAGGAGAACCAGGAGGCTCAGTTCGTTCAGGTCAGACAGAACCACCACAGCTCACCTGTAAACACAGCTTTGTTTGTTTGTTTGTTTGTTTGTTTGTTTGTTTGTTTGTTTGTTTGTTTGTTTGTTTCATTTGCTGACACAAAGACAAAAACACAAAATATAAAATAATTATTTAGTAGTGTGTCAACAGATGAACACTGTGTAAACAACAACAAAACGACTTAAATAAATCTTATTTTTATTCTTGAGACTGTTTTAAATGTTCTGATGAGTTTCTGTCCCTGAACCAGATCGACAGAGGGATGGTGGTCTACATCTGCTTCTTCAAGGGAGCCACAGAACACATCCTGCCTAAACTGGGTCAGAACCTTTTTTACCATGGATGGATGGATGGATGATGGATGGATGGATGGATGGATGGATGATGGATGGATGGATGGATGGATGGATGG